AGTTCACTTACTCAAAAAGGAAGAAGCCTCGATTACTTCAGTAACATATCGAACAGCTTGAGTTGCTCATCTGAAGTGGTTTTGATCAAATTTTTTACTTAATTTTTCTTAGTTTTTAGGGCATTTTTAAAGCATTTCAGGAGCATTTTATTGATAATTTTTTGTCATGTTTTAGGTCATTATAATCCGCCCCTTAGTAAAGACCATCTTGTAGCTCCGAGGCACCGTTTATCGCCTCGAGTCGCTACCGAGGCCGCAAGATCACCTCCGCCCTCAGCATTAAGCATATGTAGCGAACAATCGAAGCGAAACATTGCAAAACTCTTTTCATTGTACTTGTGTGTGGAGAGCGAAAGGAATAAGTGCCAAAGATGGGAGTGATAATGAGATGCTGAGTTCTTATAAACAATTAAATATCTTGAGAACGAAAGATGATTGCACCAATCGGATAGCAGAATTTTGAATTGCGTTTAAAAGAGATGTAGAACAGGCAAAAAAATTGCAACATTTGCAAATTTATAAGCAATTTCCGAATTATGCCATTCTAAAGCTGGAAGCGTCCCCTAAAGTCCCAGAACAGGAAAACGCAAATTAACAATGTTGTAACAATTAACACTTTTGTAAACAATTCCAAAATAAGCACTAAAATGGCCGGGGAAGGTCCGCAAAATTGTCTCTGAGTTGAACATTTCAAACTAGCAGTTTCGAGAACAGTTTTGCAACAGAAGTTGCAAATTGATTGTAGTATAGTTTTTAACTTGAAGGAAGGGAATTTCAAAATGAATTTGAGGCAGACATATGTGAACTTCTTTATTTTATTTCATGAGCCACGTCTTTTTTTGTTTTCATGAAATAAAATAAAGAATTTTACATATGTCTGTCTATAATTCATCTTGGGACTTCTTTCCTTCAAGTTAAAATACAATACAAAACAGGATTATTTCCATTTTACAAGTTAGTGCAGTTCTTGTTTAAGTGCCAAATATTCACTGGTATATTAACAGCTGTACTCGACCGAAAACATCCGCTCCAAAATAGTTTCCCTCACAGCGCACGCGCAAGCAAAAAAAAAAACCCTTGTTGAGAAGATAGAATTTCAAGCAATTTCAATCCACACTCCAGAATTACAGATTAGTTTACCTTCCAGTAGCAGCAACAGCAGCATATCTACCTACAATAATTCCACCAACAATGGCAGAAGTAGGGTTGCCACCTCTCCGGTTTTAGACCGGAGACTCCGGTTTTTGAGCTTGATGTCCGTTCTCCGGTTTTTGAAAAAATTATCTCCGTTTTTTTTTGTTGTTGTTGTTTTTCAATTTCAAAATCCGTCGGCAAGTATTTCCGCCGCATACGTTAACAAACAAGGCCGTTAACAAACAACCGGGACAGCGTCTTTCCCGCGCCGCCCTGCGATTTTGCGCTAATCAGACACTAAGATTCTAACTGCCAGCGATTGGTCAAGTCGCTCCTCCCCTGGATCGAAGGATGCCCAAGTTAGTCTGCCCTTGTTGAGAAGATAGAATTTCAAGCAATTTTTTTCTTCTTTGAGCAAACGTACATTTTTATCAAATATGTTTAGCGTAATTTTGCATTTTCGAAATTTCAAATTCGAATTTACTGCACTTCTTTGACTAAATCTTTCAGAAGTTAATCATAAGGTGTTATTTAGGAGGGGTTATTTAATTATTAATAGGGTTAGTATTTTTCAGGATTTATTTAATATAGTTTTTCACGCGGCGTTGCCATACAATGGGAGGGCAGCGTCATGGCAGTTTGAAGTTCTCGGAATCATGAGCAGGTGGTATGCTGTAGAGATATTGTTAGGACTATATTTAGTTTTCGAGAAATTTATTTATCTGCGATTTAAATGGAACTATGAATACTATTTTTCTCACTAGCAATGGAGAGATCACAAAGAGAGGAATACAATAATAAGTTGTTAATTTTTTAATAGAAGTTTGACTATAAAATTATATTTTCTGGCATTTGATTTTAAATTAAACCGACAAAATATCGTGTAGTAGCCCTTGAAATTGTCGCTTCTGAGGATGGTGACCTTTGCGACGGCGAGACTTAACGGGGAGAGGGAAGACAGAAGGGTGGCAGTGAGGGTAGGGCAATTACAGCAATATGTGATCTGGACTAGGACAACGGAACAAACAGTGTTAACGAGCAGAATGGAAGACTTTGTCTTTCTTCATTCGGATTGAATTTTTTTTCTACTTATTGACATTTCAAAGCATTGAAATGTACGATATCGTAGTATAAACAAGATACTAACAAAGGTCATTTTGAAAATTCTCAAGAATCGAGCTCGGTGTCTAGTCACTGTAAGAACAGCACGCCTCCATTTTAAAACATTTCAAATACAGTGAATGGGAATGAGTGGTTGAAGGTAGTCACTGTAATATCTTCAGATAATTTACAGATTTTAGATAGATAGAAATTTTGTTGTTATGTACGGTTACTCAATTTCTCATTGTTAATTTACAAAAATTAGTCGTAGATAGCTAAAAGAAAAAGGAATATGCAACAAATATGTACATCAATTATTTACACTTATACTGTGTCCCCCATCGACAGTAATTCACATCTGCAGTCATGTGTGCAAGAGCCTAACTGCAATATTTTGTGGCAGTATAAATCGATGCTTGGAATTTCGAAGAATAGAGGAAAAGTTCACCTCTGTTGAATCAATTGAAAAATCTTTAATTCTGATCGTTCGTATTGAGCTTGTTCCCGCTTGTACGTCGTGACAAGACCATGTATCGCTGTAGTTACGCTATTTCCCATTGCCACCCCTCTCAGTCTCCCCTCCCTCCATAACTGTTTCGGCGCCGCAAAGGCCACCTTCCCTCAAAGACAACTGTTGCAAGAGCTGCTACAGAAGGTATTGCTACTTTAATTTAAAAATACAAGTCAGAAAGTGTAATTTTAAAGTCAAATTACTCTCAAAACAGTAACATCATTGTATTCCTCTTTTTATGATCTCTCCATTGCTAATGTGAAAAATATATAGTTCCATTTAAAAAATATCGAAGTTTAAATAAAAAATTAAAATCTCTAGAAAACTAAAAATATTTCAAACAATATCTTTACACATATTACTTATCCATGATTCCGCATTGTTGAGCGAAAACTGCATTTTGATATCGTGAACCGTTCAGAAGTTATGAGGGTGATTAATAGTTGGTGGAACACCTATATTAAAGTCGGTAAGAATATAGTGCATCGCTCGTGGGTAGTAATAATGGCACAATTCACACAAAACAAATTTTGAGTTAATCCACACTCCAGAATTACAGATTAGTTTACCTTCCAGTAGCAGCAACAGCAGCATATCTACCTACAATAATTCCACCAACAATGGCAGAAGTAGGGTTGCCACCTCTCCGGTTTTAGACCGGAGACTCCGGTTTTTGAGCTTCATGTCCGGTCTCCGGTTTTTGAAAAAATTATCTCCGTTTTTTTTTTTGTTCTTGTTTTTTTCAATTTCAATACATTTTCAAATTTTTTACAAAATAAATAGATTTTTCAACTTAAAATTTAAAGCTTTTTCTATTTCATCAGAAATCTGTCCTTTCCTTCTTCATTAGAAAGATAAAGAGCAGAACATGAAAATTGGTCTTGCGATTCTCGTGTTATCGCCATCCGCTGTCTCTTTCTTTTTACGCATATCAGACAGAGACAGCATCTAGCGATTATGCGAAAATCGCATCGCGCAACAGTTTCAAGAATAATCCCCCGGGAATGCTATTCGATATCTTCATTTTGAACAAGATCGAATTTTCGTTCGTTTTTTCTTAGAAAATTATTTCTTGGAAACATTAAGATAAAGGTACATTTGTGATTCGTGGGAACGTGATTCGTGGGAATAAATGTTAATTATTTATAGATCACTAGAAACCTAAGATATGTAAATATATTTTAAAGAAATAAATAAAAGTCTGCGTCAATTTCTTTTTAGATTTCAGTAATTACCCCCTCCCCCCGGTCGCAACGGTCTCCGGTTTTCTGGAATTGGCAAGGTGGCAACCCTAGGCAGAAGTGGGTATGCAAGAATGATGCATTTCAATATAAGGTGAAAACTTCAAACTCATTTATCTTGACACCTGATATTTGAGTTGTACCACTATTGCATCTCACGGACGATATATGTTACAGATAATACAGAATATAGACATTACGTAATGATACTGTAGTTACGTACTAAATATGTATTCATAAAATGCGGTATGTTGGATGGCCTTCAGTTCTCAATGTTTAATTTATGTGAAATTATCCTTGCTTGTCAGTATATTATACTGCGAATATTGTTGGTAACAATTATGACTTATTCATGTTCATTTTTAGAAGTGAAAAAGGGCTACTGTTTCGTTCTATCGCAATAATTGCAGATATGCATCACTGGCTCTTCGTTTGAATTTGTTTGGAATATTTTAAGTGATGCCCGAAGTGAGGGTAGAAATTGCAATATTATAATATAACCGTTTCCAATAATGCGAGAAAGTATGTGCTATATGCGTCGCAAAGTATGAAGTTGCCCTATCACTGTCACATTATTATTGTGTCTGAACAATGTGTAATTAATCGTTTGCTCAAAAGCAATCAAAACAAATGATTTTGAGGACATACGAAATCAAAAAATCAAAGAAATGTCTCTGCAATCTATTCTAAACTAAAATCTAAACCGCGACCTTCGTCGACTCACGTTGCTAGAAAATATCCTTGTATTGACGCAATGTTTCAGTCGTAACACGTAGTCGCCGCTCCGCTTTGTAAAGCAGACAAATCGGCCTGTTATGCCTCCGCAACATATTTAATTATCGCGTACAACCAATCCACTCAACTATCTCGAAAGGGTTGTATCAGGCCATTAGCAGTCGAGTGAAACGCCGCCGCCAGCGCGCAGATGCGCATGTTCCGGCGCAAGGTTCCCCCATTCGCGGCATCACTCACGTCCAGTGCGCGTGCGTATCCACGACCTTACTTTGTCGCAGGACAGAAATCAGCTGATCGGCGCACCGCCAGCGCACCGCGCCGAGCGGTGTTGGCTTTGGAGAAGAAAACGTGCGGCCTGTGTGCCAGACATCAAGGATTCGTTTTGGGCAATCTGTTACGCTTCTTTAGATAAACAAAGGCTTTTTATATGAATTTTTTGCTAAGGTACGATGTACTGATTTGATGCTCGAAATAGATGTGTCAGTAAGCTGTGTTGCGCGAAAATTATTGTTTGATATACATATAACACTCTTTTCTTTCAGGATCTTAAGTGTCTGAAAAATGAGTGTGACCAGGGAACTTTACAAATTTGGCGCTTCGAGTATTGCCTCCCTCCAGAGCAGGTGAGAAGCTGGTAGCCAGACGAGCGTTCACGTCGTGTGTCGCGACACTTTGACAGTAAGGTTGCCGGTGTTATGGCAACATTCATTAAGAAATGCTCTTTGAAATTAAGTGTTTATAACACTTTATGACATTTTAGTTCCGTTTCATTATTCGTTTCATTTTAGACATTCAGACAGAGAATCAAAGAAAAGAATTAACCTTAAATATTATAGTGTGTAAAATATTGTTCAATCAAATACCGAGTTTGAAGTCACAAATTTTCCTATTACCATATTCAATCACAATTAATAGTCATCTCACTGCATTTATACTTTAGATTAAATAAGAACTGTCTGTCACACAAGGTCGAGGGCAACTTGCCAGCCCGAACCAGGTTACCGGGTTAAAGTTACGTCATTCCAGAAATCCATTTTATACGTCAATCATTTTTTACACGGAACACTAGCATTTGCTCAAACAAATATTATTTTGTACATCATATTTTTTTCAAACTTGCTGCTGTATGAAATAAAATATTATCACAAAAAGGGGCTAAATTCTCTATATCTTCTGAGGATACCCGTGTACCCCCGTTGTATCCTTTGTATTTTTCCCCCCCTTTTGCCGAATTGTTTGTGGTTGAATGTTTAAGCAATTTAATATATGATTTAAGTTCAATTTTTCCCCTATGTAAATAATAAAGTGCCTTTTGATATGTATTAAATATTTCTTACCATACATGACAGTGCCTTACTTTTCTGAAGTAATTCTACTGAAGGGAATTTTTGTGAAGTAGTAAAAACAAAACAAAAAAATACACATTTTATAACATCTTTTTAATAGACACTTTTGAAGTACTTGTTCTCATAAGCAGTTTTTAAGCTTAAATAATCCGGTGCCATTGCCAAGACCTGCTTTTAAAAATGCTGTTGTGCAAATTAGGATTTATTTTCAAAGAATAAAATTTTCTTTCAATAACCTTTTTGTTACCTGTATATTAAAGGGCCATAAAAAATGAAATGTTTTGTCATGCCAGAAAACAACAATATTAAGAAATGTTTAAGCAACCAATTGTACTCCAAGCACTTGTGTTTTTACTGGTTTTCCATATTTTAATGGTACATCTTGCTGGGTGATTTTGCCTTGCGTTGCAAGCCTCATAAATTATGTAGATCTTTTATTTTAATTACATTTTGTAAAATGTTGAATGTCACATTCCTTTTTATCTTGCATATTTACAGACTCCCAAATAGTGATGGCTTCTTTTTTACAATCACTAAAGTGTCAGATCCTGCATACGCATTTTCTGTGTTGGTGCCATTAGCTGCTGGTATCCACACATTACTTGCTGCTGACCTTCTTGTTGCATCATTAGTTGCTGAATGGTCCAACACACTTCTGAAATGGTAATTAATGCATTAATTTAGTAAATATCACATGGAAATATCTCTACAGAATGTATCTTTTCTCTTTTTATCATTGTTAATTATTATTCGTTAATGAAAGAAGATCAACAGTAGAAGAATTATGGTCAGTTCCTGAAATTTAGTGATGAATAGTACTTCGTAACCTTTAAAGGTTAAAAAGAGTAATACTAAACAAGAAAAAGCTGGAAAAAGAAACTCCGGCTCAATGAATTATCAGGATTGGTATAAATTAAATGAGTTTTGAGAAATAAAATTAATACTTGAGGAGCATATAATAAGTAGAAAGGAGATGTACAATATGGTTACATCATGTGTTTTTCCTGAGGACATCTGTTTTCTCTTCCATCCAATTATTCACTTTAAGGTTGTGACTTTATTTATTACTTTGTTCATGAAGACTGCTAACAATCTACTGTAAATACACTATCATGCAAACAATTTCAAATGCATTGATTTAACACTTTGAGAGATCTCACACTGACAGTAGAAGACATTTTTTTCAAAGGGCCCTTTTTTCTGAATTTTTAATGTTAAATAAGTGAGCATTAGACTAAATTTGTTAACTTATCTATGTATTTTTTTAAGCCATAAAATTTACTGCAAGTATATCAACATAAGTTAACATTTAAATGGTTGGCAGATCTAGAATTGTGCAATGGAAAATTAAAATTTTTTAGTACTTAAAGATCTATGCAGTCAGTTGAAATACTTTAACAATCCTGAAATCTTTTTTCAAAATATTTCGTTTTTACACTACTTGAAATGTTGCATTTCTCATCTGCTAACCCAGTCTTGCATACAGTATTTGTAGACATTTATTTATTTTACCTTTTGAAGACATTGATTTTACTTTTTGAAGTCTATTGCAATTTTACAAAATGTAAGATTACCTTACATCCTTTTTCCCCGGACATGCCCTCTTTCTGAAGTAAGAGAAACTGTCCAGGTGAATTTTACAAGAAAGGAAAAAATGTCCTCTTTTTTATTGGAAAGGGGAAATTACTTTTAAATGCAACCTAGCCATATGATATACGAGGTACATTGCAGTTTTTTCAACTTTTTCGAGTTTGCAATATCATAACATTTCGTTGTTGTATGGCATTTAAATGAGCCGGTACAGCAGTATATGAAGTGTCCTCTTTTTTGTAGAAAATGTCCTCTTTTCCCAGAATGGAAGTATGGTAAGTCTGACAGACTTGTAAGCTACTAAAATGTTAAAATAATGTTATTTATTTTGCTCTAATGAATTAATTCATCTTTCAAAACAGGTTTATCATAATGTTAGAAATTTTCTCATTTTATAACAATAAATCAGCTTATCAGAAAGTAATTTTCTTAAGTGCTTAATCATATGACATGAAATTACCTTATTTTCATCACTGTATGTTTTAAAACAAGATCATTGTATTGTAATTCAATGTTTCTCCTACATAGCTCTTCAATAACAGTGTTTAGAACTGTCATTAATAAAAAGTGGACAAAAACTGAATGTTATTTAAAAATAACAGTCAAATCTACAGTGAATGAACAAATAATTTCACATAAGCATTATTAAGCATTATAAGATTCTTTGTCAAACCTATGATATTCTTAAAATTAAAGATTCTAAGAAAAGATGAATAGATAAATATTTTTACAGGTTGCTGATGGAAGACCGACCTTACTGGTGGGTTCGGGAAGTTGAATTGACAGGATTACGAACCCCAACCCTACGACAGACTCCTCTGACCTGTGAAACAGGACCAGGTAGTCCTTCTGGTCATGTTATGGGAGCTACAGCTGTGATGTATGTTTTGCGTGAGTGGATAGAGCACTATTACATTATTCCTCATGAGGATCTTAGGTAAGAGTGCTGGGCACAATGCTTTCACGAAGTTGCATAAATTATTTTATACCATTTGGTTTTAATAAAACAGACATTTCAAAAAACAATTTATTATCAGATATCCACATTTCATTATCTATTAGATATGTTACTTTCATTATTTTTTTTATGAAATGGAGAAATAAAAATCTAAATAATATCAATGAATCGCATGGTATTATGTATTTATGTGAAGCAAATGACAATGAACATACCATTATACATTAAAATTTGCATTATGAATAATTCTTTATTAAATACAACATTTCAAGTTCTCTGAAATGTATTTCTGGGTACAGAAATTGCAAAGAACGTATATTTATCAGCAAATAGCATTTCTGTTAAACTTTTTAATTAACTAACAATGATGATTGTAGGAATAATGTGAAGATTTGTTATTTTACTCATTGAAAATTTTGTCAAATTCTAAGTATGAATTGATTGTACTTTTCATAAATTGAAATTTTCATCATGAAATTACTGATTTGAAACTCAGGTTGTCTAACTGAGAATTGAAGTTGAATGCCTGAATTTTAAGAAAAAAATTGTCCAGCCACTATTTTGACAGAATAGGATTGCACAAACCATTGCCAGATTTGTCAATGACCACTAGCCTGTGGAGTTTGAAATAAATATTCTGTGATTGTAATATTAGTGTTCCTAGTGTGACCTTAAAAGATAGAAATTAAACTTTTATTCCACACTGTTTTGCCAGTCTAGTCATATATTTACAGTCACAGAGTGGCCTTTCTCTCTGCTGGGACTAGCACCCATTGACAACTTTCACTATGGTATGTGCATTCCTGTCCCATCAGAGTAGAGACAGAGTGATATTTTCTTTAAAAATAGGTATTAAAGTTTTCTTCTTCTTCCAAACTATGACCTGTATTTACATTCACAGAGTGGTGTTTCTCTCTGAACAGGTTTGAAGTACCTTCCATTGGCTGCATAGAGACCAACAGATTTGCACACACCTGTATTTTTAAATACAAAACTACCTATTTAACCATAAAGTTTTAAGGGAATCATGTTTTTGTGACTATCACTTGTACCATGACAAAACATGGAAATCTTGTGTTATTTTGCATCAATATAAACTGCACACCTGAGAAAGTCAATATACAACTTTGTGTGCTTGTTATTCTTTAAGGGGCAACATGAAATAAGAATTTCATTTCACTTTTACAGATACAAAATAAAATCTTTTCTCTTGCTAAACTGTTTTTATGCAATATTCTTATTAAAAACAAAAATGGTGGAGAGAAACACACAAAAACAGGCTAGCTTTGTCTTTATTTAAATTAACTCCACTTAACCAATGTATACATTACTTTCATTAAAACTTATTTTCTAACTCGCCTTCCAATTTCAGTGATAAGAAGAAAAGAGCATTGAATTTGCTCTCTTGGACTTTCCTCATATGGGCAGTTGTATTTGTGAGTCTCTCTCGCCTGTATGTGGCAACACACTTTCCACATCAGTGCGTTCTAGGCTTCTTTTTTGGTAAGCGTCAAGTCTTGATTTCTTCAGTTTGTTTTTTAGTTATTTATTCGAATTTTACATACCCTACAATATGTTTTTTTATATTTTTATTTTATTTTATTTTTTTGCATAAAATTTATAAATTAGTAGTAGCAGAGTTCATACCAATTAGACTATCCAACAAATAAACCACAGTAATCATGGTGTAAATGTATTTGTAATAATACTGCTATCTTTCTTGCATGGATTACAAAAGCTGGATATGAATTGGATTACAAATCCAAAGGAAATGTGTAATAAAAATTGCTTTTCATCAGTTAGGTCTTTCCAATGATCTTATTTTTAGATTATAAATAATATTATATATAACATAAATAGTTAATTTAAATATCCAATTAGAAATATTCTACATTTTTTTATAAAAACATTGACAAATAATTATATATTGATTGCTTGGACAACACCATCTGGAGATGTATTTGAGCCCTGATTCTGTAATGGTGTTGTAATATCTTCTGCTTGCCTAATAGTGATTGCAGTCCTACAGCAAGTATGCATGAATTTCTCTAATATATCATCCTTTAAGTACATATAAAAATTTCTTCTACTAAAATATTAATTCAAATTATCTACATTTTAACTCGCTTGTGATGAATGCATAAGAGTTGTTAATTTGTAGTAGTTTACTTTTTATTTATCAAGCATTGTTCACTAATTTAATAATATTGTACATTCTTATAATGTAATTGGTTATTTTTGAAACCCTATAAGTAATGAAATGTTAACTTGTGAAAACAGAAAAACTGATTGCTGAATGAACGAAAAATTATTTGTAAAATATTTTGACTTTGAGATTTATTACTTATGGAAAATCATCATGGTAGTATGATATGAACTTTTATTACGGATTAAATTTGCATTTACAGAAGTTTGAAATTCTGTGTTTTATGGTATTTGAAAAGAAAATACAAAACTTTTTAAATTTGTCTTCAAGAAGGTATAAAGTTCATACTTGGATGATTTATTGAGGTGTGTCTACTTTATTTGAGTACAAAAAATAATAGATTAAATAAAAAAGTTCATTTACTTTTTTTATTGTTTTAAACAAGTAGTTTTTTGCAGAATTTCCATTTCAAGGTAATGCAATAAAAAAAATTAAAAACTGCTCCAATTTTTTTCTTAAAATTTTTCCACAGATATAAAAGAATGATGCAGGTCTCATTTTCATTGAACACTCTGAATTTTGAAAAATAACAATAGTTAGAAATAATGCAAGAAAGTATATACTGTCAGTGGCTTACAGAGAGTCAAAATCTCAGCAAATATGAACGATCCTCTAACAGTCTTTTTATACAGCTGACTTCCACCCATTATGATGTATCTACCATTCAGCTTTCATTTTTTTGCTTAAAACAAAATTGTCTTTTTGTTTTAAAACAAAAAAACAACAAATTTGCTTAAAACAAAAGAGTGACCAACAGGGTTTTAAAACTAACTGATTCAGTTGCTGTGTGCATAACACGTAAGTTTGTGAAGATAATAAATCTAATAAATGATTGATGTTACAATGCAGGCTACTCATTTAAGAAAGTAACATTTCTTCATAACTCTTTCTTTTCCTCTATTTTACTTGTACTAAAAATATCACTATTACTCTGGAACTAATGGAGCAAAATATTTCATTTGTATTAGCACATTAAAGATATTTCTCAAAGCAATAATACATTAGATTATCGAATTTTATGAAAAATTAAAGATATAAGGTGAAGTCAACCAGCGGTTAAAGTATTTTGGGTTTTTAAATATATCCTTAAACCCCATTTATTCTAAAGAATTCACATTAACAGTTTCACTTAATTAAAAAAGGAATGTTTGCCTTTAGGAACAATTTTCCACCCGTAAAATCACAGTATCTATTTTGACACAATTTTAGAGATTAATTGGATGGAAACTGATAACATTTGCAAGTCTTTTGTGCTTGTGGAATTATGACTGAGAAAAAAATTCTACGGCACCAACAATTTGTTATTCAACTGAATTCATTTTGATAATTGAATCAAATGTTGTTTTTTTCATGGAAGTAATGTAGAATTTTCATCTGTAATACATAAATCTCGAAAACAGAAAATAACAAATATTAATGTTTGTAACATTTGTTTCTTGATCTATGAATAAGTTATGTACTGTGTGAATGAACTTGTATATAATATGCAATTTCAGACAAAATTACTGGTGGAAAAATAACAGTATAAAAGGGATCATGATTTTTGTGAGTCATTTAACATTTTTGGTTGAGAGTATTGCTGAAGATATGAAATCAGATGAAGCATGAAACGAGAAAGAATGAATATGTATGTAGTTCAGAAATCATCTCCATATTTTAGAAAAGGTCCAAATCATGTATTGTAAAATAAATACAGCAGATAATTTCAAATTTTTTGGATTGTTTATATAATATTTTTCTATTATTTAAATTTAGTTCTTTATATTTTTGCTGAGTTCCCCTTGACATTTTCATGCTCAGAAAAATTCAGTCACTTTAAAGCTGTGAACATTAATGCAAGTCATGAAGCTTTACATGAAATCTGCAGAGTGTACCTGCAAATGAAATTGTATATGTTGAATAAAATAAATCTTTTACTGAACTGTATTCCCTAATTGCATAGTTATACCTATTTTCATCTCAAATGATCCTCTATTAAACACAAGAAATGTGAGTTTTAGAGTCTAAAACCCCGAGTTCTGGTTATGACCCAAACGTTTTTGAGAAAATGCTTTCTTGGTATGTACTCCTTTTGACTTTTGAGTGTTTTGAAAGACAAGTTATTTTTCAGCCCATTTTCAGTAGACCTATTATCATCTTCATAAAAATGGAAATTAGCTAGTCTTTGCTCTCAGCCACCAAAAATAAAATTTTACATGATTTTATGATGTAAATTGAAATAAAAAGAATACATTCATGTCTTTGATGTGTTAATAAGTGCCTAACTAATTACTTATCTTTCTCATATGTTATGAAGCATGAATTGTTTATTTAATATTAATATACAAAATAACAAGGCATGCATTTGAGAGGTGGTGAAATAATTTTAGGTTTGATGGTCGGGCGACTGTTAGTATGCAAGACAAGTGCTTGGACTTGGTGGTGGCGACGGGGTTCATGGAAACGCCTCCTCTGCATCTCTGCCCTTCTTACATCCATCTCAATCAGTGCATACTGGTTCCAGCGAGCTCTTGGAATAGATCCGCAATGGAGTGTTCGGCTAGCCTTCAAATGGTGTGAACATGCTGAGTATCTCCATGTCGATACTACACCTCTCTATTCCCTAGTTCGTGACTCTGGTGCTGCAATTGGAGTAGCACTATCTTCTCCTGTTCACAGGTATGTTGTTTCACATGTTCATTTCATGTAATGTTTCAGTAAGTTTTCAGAATTACTTTGAGGAAACCCTTCATACTTTAAGATGAATAGAGAAACAGCCTTCAACTGAATTGCTCATAATTTATTGGTTCAACAATTTAAATAGTTAGAATCTTCTTGAAATATTTTCTGTTCCATCTTCTTAGTGTACAACCTATGCCCCATTTCATCCTTGTTTATTATGCCTGTTTTAATTACTATGTTATTGAAAAAAATCACGCATAAATGAGCTGTGGCACACCCAAGGGAGGAGGGGACACTTTAGAGGCTTCAGTTCTTTGTCAAGCCCATAATAGTAATGAAATTCATTCAGGATTTCAATTGAATATATTATAAATAACTACATCATCATCAACAACTACCACAACAAAACTCAATATAAATGAATTTTTTTATTAGAAAACAATAAGTCAGGTGGATACTACACCTGTGGCTCCCCCTTCCCCCTGAGAAAAATCCTGGTTGTTCCATTGCTCATGAAAGTTTGAATTCTAAACTCAACTTGATCAGATGAAATGTTAATATGTCAATAATTGTAAACTCAAAGCCTACAAATCCTTTCCTTTTGATGCATCACTTCCTTCAACTCACTCATTGTAATACTTTCAAAGTAGAAAATATATTATTCGCTTTTATTAGTCTCTTAACATTTATCTATTTCTGTGCTTAATACTGTTTTAGATGACTTCTCCTGTTCTTATATTGTTCTCTTCATTAGCTTATATCTGAAATTATTATTGATTCTGTATGTCATTAACAACTATAAGCCAGTACCAGGTGTTGCAGCATTTTATCTGGGTAAATCTCAAAGAATTCTGGTAACTTTAAAAACTGTTTTAGTTCATGAATTTAACAAAACAATAATATTTATTTCAAATTTATGTTTAATTTTTATATTATGTGTGAATGAGTGAACAAGAAAAACTTATATTTCTGTACTGTAATAATATAGATTTTATTCTCAAATAATAGCTATCTCCTCCCCCCCTTTCATTTGAAATGTCTTCAAAATGGTTTAGTTTGGTAAGGTGGTGAAAACACCTCTCAGCAAAATGAAGTGAAACATTTTAGAAAAGATCCTGATCCAAAATAAATCTTGTTTTGCAGCACTTACTTTCTCACATTATTTGTAACTGCTTCACAATGTTTTACTATGAAATCAGGGTTCCCAACATGTTTGGTATCGACCCCCTTGGGGTGGATGAAATTTTGAAAGGGTCAGTCATAGTCAGAGGCTCGATAAGGGGTCAATAGCCGAATATAAATCGGTGACTGATCAGTATAATCGAGATTCCATTAAATCAAAGAAATAAATTAAAGAAATCGATAATTATGTGACTGTTTTTTTGTCCAAACATAATAATAAACTACAAATTTGCTCCTCTTCTTTTGTATCTATCATTCAACATTAGGAGCAGGAGCTAGCTAGGGGGGTGTAACCTCTGCACCACACTGGGGACCCTGTTAAGGCTCTGCACTGACAGAGTACACAAAAGAAGAACTCCATGCTCATTTTCTCCATTGCGCCATCCATACTTATACTAATTGCATTTAAAACTTCCATTTCACTTTTCCTATTCGCACAGAGGCCCCACTTTGATTTTCTGCTTCCCGTCCTCCAAGAAATTTTAAATTCACATTTGAAATTTGAATTTATTTTTCAATTCCATTCAAGTACCTAACTTTACCACTACTAATGATGGTTAAAAAAATTGAAGACATTATAACTATTTATTCACAATGTTAGTCTCGTCGTGCAAGAAAATATTCTCCAGAATAAGCAGTGAAGGTATGTTATGGCCACTCTAATAATTTTTTAATGGTTGAACAACAATGGAGATGACGTACTCGGCTACTCAGAAGCGAAAGCATCTTAAATTATTGAAATTCCAGATATTTAGGAAAATGTTGGCACAAAAAATTGGTATCTTTAAGGCATGTGCGGTTCTTTTGTGGTTTGATAATGTATGCTGTTTCTTATAAAGAAAGATGCAAGGGGGTCAATGGACCAATAAAAGTGGCCAATGAAAAAAAGGTTGGGAATCCCTGCACTTCAAGAACCTGCAAGTGTTTTCAAAGAGCAATTTTTTCCTCCACCGAGACTTGAACTCAGCTCCAATGACTTAACTCGCTGTGTGCTTTACCATTATATCAGGCAGTTGCTTTGACATACCCACTTGGGCCGCCACTTAAAAATTTAATTATCTCTTCCATTACTTCCAACATACAGTTTTAGAAAATTCAGTGTTCAACAAAAATGAGATCTGCCTCATTCTTTTAAGCATCTGTTGTTTTGTTTGTGGGAAAAAATTAAAGAAAAAAATTGAAGCAGTTATTGAGAAAATAATTTTTTTAAATTTGCCTGTATTTCATGCAAAATTATGTGAAAACTACTCATATTTTCAAAAAATAATACATGACCATATTTAAACTTCTGTATTTAATGAACAGATTTTATTAAGGAAAAAATCTTCCTTCAATATTGTACTTGTAGGAAGATGCAGAAAATAATTTAAACTTATGCAAATATCGGAAAATGAGAAATTTTAATGAAAATGAGACCTGCATCACTCTTGTTAAGTGTTCTTTAACTATTGATGACAAAGTGTAATAAAAAAAATTGCAGCCATTTTTAAGAAAATTTTAAAAACGTTTTTGAGGCATCATGTAAAGTACCCCCCAAAATCAAAATATCCATTTCAAACTCAGAGGGCTTTGATTTCATTTAAATCAATTAAGGAATATCAATTTTAGAGAAAATCAGCTGTGTGGTTTAAGCGGTAGTGTTGACCTCAGACAAATGTTTTGCTGTCAATCGATTTTTCGGTATCAAGGGCACACAAGACATGGATTCTGACTAAACGACATGTTAGAAAAAGTAATTTACTATGTGTAGGAACAAGATTTATCAACCTTTTCTTTACCTGAGCCCGGCAATACGAATTTTTTTGTCGAAAATTCGCCATTTTCTGGCACACAATTACAATGTTTTCCTCTCTTATGAAGTAAAGACGAAAAAGTAAAAATTTGAATTAGCTTCCAAATCCCAAGCACCATTCATCCTCCCTACATAATGAACTGCATGTTTTCTGTATTTTAATTTTTAATGCCTTTATGCTTAGAATTTTTTTAAATGTACATCACTAATTTGCAATATACAAATAAACAGAAAACTATGGTTGTCAGAGAGGTGTCGATGGTTTCATTAGAACCTCTCATACAGGAAAACTGAGAAATACAAAAACAACGGAACAATTTTGACTGAGTGTAAAAATGCAATATTTTGTTATGTTTATCAACAATTCTCATCCCTGATGTTATGACTAAATTCTCGTACTCACCGAGTCACGAGTCACTGCTTATAACAGAGTTGACATCAAGTGATGAGGAAGAAAGAAGTGTCAGTTTCCGCATGTGCCATTTCAGATCAGCTAATTTTTGCTACTTCAGGACACCGTTTTCCACTCACTTAACAGCAGCATTTTTGCTGCTGCAGGCCTCTAGTAAAAGTTATTCTCAGATTAAAAACCAGTTTTCTCCATTGTACAATTTTTGAAGGGAAAAAAGTTTCAAAATTCGAATATTAAAATTTATTTATGGAAAATAAGAATATGCAAAACATTGCAAAAGTATTTTCCCAAGTTTTTGTATCTACGTAAAAAATTAAGTAGAATATATAGTTTCGAAGACTTTTTTAAAGTTTCATGAGCTAAACCGTCCCCTTGTCATATTGTAGGTGGTTGTTTGCTGTTTTTTCTCCTTAATGGTAGCACAAGTCACATGAACACAAATGCCAGCTGTTGTCGTGTCAGAGAGAATAGAGATCTATTTTACTTGTCAAATGTCTGCATACCCTGCCTACAGGGCTCACCATCATATGATGGTGTCAGGGGCGCTGAGAAAAAACAGGCTTGGAGAGGTTGAATCATGGGGGCTCCTTATTTCAACAAAGGTCCTCCATACATATTTCATTGTAAATGTATTGTATATATTTTAAAGTTAATTTTACTTCTATTACAGTTTTTTCAAACTATGTCTATTGAACAAAATATTTTGTGTAATATTTTGTAATCATATTTTAAATAGTTTGTAACAACTGTACTGTAAATTATGTTAAAATCTACATACGTTACTTTGTATTTGGAAGTTAATGTTTAAATCATCTTCTGAGCTTTTATTAGTGGTTATTTTGAATTAAAAGTAGATACACGTTTTTTACAAAAAACCTTTTGTGGCACCAATTAAGTTGGGGTTCCAGCACTGAGTAGTTTAACAGCGACACAGATCTCCACAGTGCAATGGGTGGTCCAGCTTCCCCCCTCCCCCTTTGCTCCCACATTCACACAAAGTAAATACAAAGTGTGTGACCTAGGATTCATTTAAAATAATATTACATATTTAGCCACATCTACAATATAAGTTTACCATATTTTTACGTTGGTAATATTAAAATACTTTATAATTTTTAGAAAATATTTGCCCTTTTTTTGTTTCATTCAAATTGTGCCATCAGTTCAAAAATTCTGGGGAAAAAATGTATAATAACAGAAACTAAATTTTCTGTTTATTTTTTCCCCCTCTTGCCTTAATAACTACTTTAAAATTTTTTCAAAAATATTTTTTGTTTAAATTTGAATTTATCGTCTTTTTTCCCTTAAAAAATTGCTTTATAGAAGAAATTTTTTTTAAAACTGGGAATAGTTTTATATTTTTTAAATTCTAAGCAAAATGGCATTCAAAGCCAAATGCAGAAAACATGTTTTTCATTTTGCAGGTGAACAGGATTAGGCGGATGCAAATATTTCAAAAATGTTTATTTTGGATTCTAATCATTGTTTAAAATGTTTCATTTCACTTGGAAGCCTATTTTCACCATCTTACCAGCCTAGATCCTTAGTGTTTTCAAATCAGATGTAAAAGAAATACATTGACAGATTCTAATAATAGTTAATGCATGCCTTAAGAAATCAAGAATTAAATTACAAAGGAAATATTTCCTTTACTCCCATAGTTATTTTCAGTCTGTGTTCATTTTACTCTAGAGTGCAATCTTTTAAAAATGATATTGAACTCCATCAAGGTACGTGTTCAAATGATGTTGAATAGATGAAAATTTAAGTTTTAATTCTTTTTTTTCATTTTTGTTTATTTTTTCATTATTTCTTTCATGAATTATTTGAAGTGTGGTTACAATGCGTCTCCTAGGTAGTAGACTCCTAGATTTCAAATGTATATTGGGACATGGAGGTAGTTTTGTTTATTTCTTAATATTCAGAAAAGCTCTCATTGTACTATTCAATGAGGAATCCCCTGAATATAGTGAATATTTTTCCATGTGCACAATACTAACCATATGACATCATCCAAAGATGGCTTCCTAAGACATTTCTTAACTGCTTCTCAAACATATGAGTTGATATAACAAAAAAAATATAGTGGCACAAAATAGTGAATATTAACTTGTACTCGAAACAAATGTGTTTCACTTCTAAAAGTCTCAGTGTTAAAAATTGGGATGGGATGTTGTTTGATCTTGAGCGAGCAAGCCCTGATCCACATCCTTCTATCCATATCTGGTGATTCAAGAGCTTGACTTCCACACAACTTCTAGATTACCGTTGATGTTTTGTGGATTTGGTTAATCTTTAATAGTTTCCTGTTCATTGCATTATGCACTCAGATGTGCAGATGCAACTTCAAGAGAGTGTTAGACATTGACCAATCTTATTGAAATCAGAAGGAAAAAGCTTTTCAGATCCTTTGGATCATTATAAATAGTGTAAGCTATTTATAATAAATAAACTGAAAGAATTTATTGTTTTATTAACTGAACCCACAGGTGGATTAATACACAAGCAGACTATGCATGTGCTTAGGGCCTCCAATTATTTTTTAAACAAACCTTTATATTCATTCATAGTTAAAACATTGCAGTTTAAAAATTTAATAAGGTTATAGTCTATTTACCTATTTATTTTCCATATATATGTTCAATATTTCAATATTAGGGAGACTTACATCTTCACAATGCTTTAGGCCTATAAAGATCTTAATCAATCTTGACTAAGCTCCTCCACCACCATCTGATGGGGGTTAAAAATTAAATCGCAAGACTGATCCTCACTACTTCTTAGTAGCATTGAAACGAAAGTTTTCGTAAAACCTTTAAATTTTGTGGCCCTGTTGATGTGTAGAAATCTAACCTGTTTGAATTCTGAAAGCATTGGAAACAACAAAACAATAAAATGGTACTTAGATGAGAAAAAACGAAATTGTAGTTCTGGAAAATCAATTAGGTTTGGCAACAAAAAATATAGTTTCATCTAGGAAATGTGATGAAATGTGTTTATTTAAAAACAGCTACTGAAAATTGAGACAAGAAGTTTCCAAGAAAGTTTTCAAAGTGTCAATTGAATGATGAATAATTTTCTAGATGCAGATGTATATTCATCTTGAGTTGTCAATTTTTACCAAATTACTTATTATGTGTATTTGTTTATTCTATCTACACATTTCATCATAATTGTGTGAAAGGTGATGATAAAAATACATTTTAATTTGCTAAAATTGGTTGATTTTCCTGCTCCTCATGTTTTTTTATCACTTAAGGTCCATTTGACTGTATTAATCTTTCTTCTTTTTTCCTTGACCTTTATCAGGGACCCTGCTGAATTATTTTTTGAGTTATTTGTGTTTCTTCACAGACCACAGGTACTTCGTGGCAGCTATGTGATACGTATTGGTCTGGCAGGTGCTACTGTTCTGCTCTTTCAATCACTGAGTAGTGCCATCCCCACCCAACAAGCAGTTGTCTTCTATTTGCTCCATTGCCTACTACAAGGACTGCAGGCTTGGGCACTTCTATGGTTACTGCCAAAAATTGCTAACTTGTTGCCTTGGCAACCACGGCAACGGCAGCAATCCAAAAAGCAAAAACTGCCACCAAAACAAGAGTAACAGAAATACAAAGCATGCATTCTATTTCATAGATCATGACTTTGAAAGAGCACAAGGGAAAATGTGATATTGGTAGTTTATTAAAAAAATCATTTTCTGTACCTTTCAGCTCATTTTAAGTAATTTATTTTGAGTGTTAATTTTTCATTATACTGTCAGTTCAAATGTTGATTTTCTTAAATATACCAAACTACAGGAGAAAGGGTTCAGTAAAGGTTCATGTGACCTAGGATTTATCTTCAGTATTAATTGCAGCTGAAAACATGAAATAGCAAAAAGTTGTGAATTGAAAAATGATAAAAACAGTATTCCTGAAGAGATATGCAGTCATTAGACAAGGTATTATATATTGTGAAGTATGACCTAAGGCAAGCCTGCTGATAATTGGCTCTGTGTCAACATGAACCTTAATAATTTGGATCCAACATTTTGAAATTCTTGTAAAATTGACTTAATATTTCTTTAAAAACTAAAACTTCATCAATTCTTCCTCTTACACTTACAGAAGGGATGCACACCAAACTTAGTATTGTCAACAGCAGAATTTATAACATTTTCTCGTACTCTGCCCTGAAACTGGGCTTCACCATTTCCATTGCTCTTACTTAAAGGATTTTTGCCGTCCAACAAGCACTTTTGTCTGTTTGCTTCTCTGCCTATTGGGTTGACCTTTTCTGTTGCCTTCTAATCTTCATGAGATTCTTCTGAATCTCTTGTGAGTGAAATCTTGCTGACTTCCTGCTGAAAAGTGACCAACGTTAAATGGAGCTTGTCTTTCATTTTGCTGGAATATTGTATCTATATTCAAAAACTTGGTCTCAGTCAGCTTTTAAATGGCATGCACTGTCATATTTGGCTATAAGTGAAGAAAATCTTGCATGACAGCTTTATTTTTTGAGAACACAAAGTGTCTCGCTAGTCTGTTTCATCAGTTGTAGCATTCTTGTTCTATTTGTCTTATTGCAAGACCTACTTGTGCAGTAATTTATGTTGATCTTTTTAAAAGAAAATACATGTTCTGCCATAAATTATCACAAATAAAATGAGATGAAATATTTAATTTTTCAATTTAATTAAATGTTTGATCATTTGCGAATTAGTCTTTTAATATCTGCCATTCACAATTCTTTAAATGAATTTTATTTTTCATAAGATCAAAATTGCTTTTTCATGGTAATTCATTTTAAGTTTTATTTATGTAGGAAACAATTATAAGATGACTTCTGAACAATCAACAAAAGAATTTCATTATGTAAGAATGGTGACTCCAACAACTTTGTGCATTTCAAAATTGAAATGTTATGTGTGACTTATTCTAAAAGATGATATTTTTTGTAAACATAAATATATTTGTACAATACAGAATATTGAATTCAAAGGGAAAATTGTCAAAAAATGATTATTTCTTTTCAAAATAATATTGTTCATTAAATGATATAAACTGTTCAAAAGTCATTAAGGAACTTTTCATATAAATTAAAAATAAGATTTTTTTATAAACACAATGAAACTAATATAAAATAAGGAATACATTGTTTCTTATATTTATCAGAGCTCGGTACAAAATTATGTATATGTAGAATTTTTATTTTTTTAAAAATAGGATGACAAATTAGCAGATGTTGATTATCATTCCTTTTTAAAGTAAGTATCTTAATGATACTTATTTTTAATGTCTTAGTGATATAAATTATTTTATTGTTAGTCTTCTAGATACTATGAAAATGTACTTTGATGTGTACTTTCTTTTCTTGAATACTACCTTGAAATAAAATTCCACAGTGAATTTCATAAGTAATCCTAAGGGTTCAATTAATCCAAAACATGTCACAAATTCTAAAATTAACTTTTTCTGAATTGTTGATTTTTTCGGTTTCTATTTTATTTATTTGTTTTTTCAATTTAAAATAATTATATAATATTTCAATTGATTAGAGTAGTCCAGTTGGCATTAAATACTTTCTGAATGAAATAAAAATTGTTTTTTTGCTATCTGAAAGAGTAAGTTAATTAAGTTATTAATAAATTGACTTACTGTATGAAATTGTGTTATTTTCATTTGAATTAAAATACTTAATATTAATGAATTGTTTTGCAACTTTATAGCTATGAGCCATTAATTGAACATTCAAATTAAAGATTGGCTTTCAGTGGTTTCTTGTTGTCTTCCAGAGTGCTACTGTTCGTAGTTCATTTTGTTCATTTGTTCACCAGTGCATGAATGGAACTGATCGCTTTAACTACTTGGGTGTACACACATACACTTCTGTTGAAAATCTATTTACAATCAAATTATGCCCTTACTTTTAATTCACACAGAAAATTATTTTCTTATCTTATGGATTTTAATTTCATTTAAAAGAAAAGATAAAGCTTAAATTCATAAATTTTCTCTAAACTTTTAATATTATTAAATATATGTATGTAATATTTTAAGTTCAATGAGCCAGTAGTATTCAAATATATTTCAAAAATGAATAAACATTTTATGGAAAATAAACTATGTTAGGATTACTTACTCTTATGCACATTATACTGCACTGCATGTTGATCACCTGTTGAAGTGACATGTGCCCAAAATTTTGGAGATTGTCCACGTGAAAGTTCAAATTAAATACAAGAACTCTTTATCATTTTGCCGAATTGCAAGACTGAGAAATGAATAAAGTGCTCAGCAATGGTGGCTTTTTGAAACCGATAGAAATTTTTCGTAAAATTTACATCAACAAAAGTCTTAAAGAGAGCATCCAGTTCCTTTTTAGATGACCATTTACTTGAATGTCACATTATTTATTACATCTTTTTTACCTGATAAAACTAATTTAATTTTAGATTCTGCACTAATTAAATTAGAAGAAACTGTATGGAATTACATTAATACCATTTTAAAACATTGTTTAATTAATTAAGTTTATAAAATTTATATTTAATTATTATTTGATAAACATACAGCTGATAGAGATTCGAATATCCATTATTGTCAACTTCTTAGTCAGATTTTCCATATTTTTGAAAGCTCGTGATAAGCTTATAAATAAATTATTCATGTGAATTTTCAAATTAATTACTTATTAAAGATTTTTCCTAGCAAATAATTGTTTTCCTGCTAAATCAAAATATTTTTTTATGATTTTTCTCTTTTGTCAACAACACAACAAAGACATTGTGTCTGAGATTATAATAAACACATATCTCTTTTCATGTACAATACTGTAAAATGTACAATATGCAGTCTTCCTAAAGCTTTTGAACTGATATTGCATAATATACCTCAGCTACTCATTTCAATATTCATTTTACACTAATTCTATTTAATTCACAATTACTTCAATTTTCTCATTTGTGTGTTTTGTTGATAATTTTAATTTAATGTTTGCCAGAAACTGAAGCAAATTTCAATGAAGAAAATATACATGGATTGAATGTGGAGGTGTAAGTGAATTGTTAACACACTAAGTTATTTTGTTATTGTATATTCTGTCATACAATATTCTCTCCATCAAAAACATAGAATCCACTGCACAGAACATTTACAAAAATTTTTCATTTTGTCACACTATGGTACCAAGTTTAAAGTTATTACATTGGAAAATGTATTAATTAATCTATTCTTCTACGTAAGCTGTTTCTCCGGAAACACAATACTATTGCTTGATAGAAAAGGCATGAACTTGTAAACAATTTGTAAACCTTTCTCTTAATGGCTTTTTTCTTTTTATTTCTGAATTTCTTAGGCATTTGCTAAATATTTACAAATGATCATTAGAAGTTTTATTTTGTTTTTGGCATTTATATTTCTTACTGTGTATTGCTTCCTAGAGAGACACTTTATGAATATCCTAGCATTTTGTTCTCCATTAATATGGATGGATTTAATGTTAGTGCATTTGTTGAAACAAAGACTAGTCATGGATGGTTCAATCCCTGTTACATTTAAACTTTATGAACCTTTAATTTGATTGTTTCATTATTTCAAAACGGAACAAAACTGCCTTTGTATTATATTGCATGTTGATTTGATTAATGTACATTTTTGTTTTTACAGTTGGCACGGTGCCATTTTCATCGTATTCTGTAAAACAATTGTTGGAAAACTTTTTTTTTTTCATAAAACTATATTCTAATGTCTTTGCAATATAAAAGTGCTGTCCAGCAAATGTATAAGATGTGGTTTTCCATTTACAGCCCAGCTCTAAATATGTAATGATCTTATGATTGCATAATCACTGTGCAGTTATCTCATGCAATCCCACTTGTTTGACACTGGATCCTCTTCGTTACATTTGAATGTTCTCATGTAGTTGTTTGTAACCTAGTTATTAGAATTTTATGAAGAATTTTAATTGTATGTAGGGCAACCACTATTTTTGAGAATATCTATGGGAAATTGTAATGAAAAGCTAAATGAAACAGAAATCTAATTTTTGAGGGAAGGAGGGCCCACAAACATTTTGTAAGATGTAGGTGGCTAGTGATATAAGAGTAGGTTGAAAAATCTGTGTTTGATTCTTATATTAGGTGTTTATTATACATTTTTACTTGTTGCAGCAAATTATACATGTATCTTAATGCTTCCAAAGAAACAATGAAAAAATACATATTTTAAGATTTTTCTGCTGGTATGTAGTAGGTTATTGTTTCATGATTAATACAACAATATTTAGTAAAATTTCTCTTTACTGATATCTCAAGCATAAATGTTTTCCCTGGAAGCTATGTATTTTTCATTTATGTGTGAAATTCCAAACATCTTTGTTTTTGCATGGAATGTACTCTTAGAAAGTTGCCCTAGGTTGAGGTAAATGCACATCAACTGACAGAGGGTCGAAAAAAAAACTCTTTGAAATGGGAGTGGGTTAGTGTTTGCTGGTTTCCTCAATTCAGTGGATAGTAATCTACTACATTGGGTCAAGCAACCATGGTCTCTAGTGTGTCACAATCCAGTTGGCAGGATATAGCTCAACATAGTGATTATCTGCTGCTTAAAGTCAAATCCAATCCAATTTGTTAAAATGATGAGGAAGTTATCATGCCAGCTGGATATGTATATCTAGTGTTTATGTGATCCAAACATTAAAATCTGCTGAAGTATTTATAAAAGTTTTTGATTGTATTTTAAAGTGCAAATGCTTCCAGAGATACAATGGGTTCTTAATTAATTGCAGAATGTTCTAAAAATGCTTCATTTTTATTGAAAGTTCTCATTTCCCAGATATAGGGACTTTTCCAAACTGAAATAAATAGTAGCATATGTAGTTAAAATTATTCCCATCCTGACCAGCATACTCAGTATCAGTAAATTATTGTACTGCTATTCCTAAAAATATACTTTTCATCCAGGAATGTATGTAGTTTATCAGTCTTTTATTAATGATCATTTAGATACATTTTATCCAGCCATGTGCCATTGTTACATTTATCAATTTTACATTGGTGTCAATGGTTGTTGATGTTGATTGTTTGTCACATTTGAAAGTTCTCTTGTGTGTTATACATAGCTGCTTAATATCATACACAACATATTCTTATGATACTATATTTTTAATACAATATTTATCTCAGTTGCTTTACCTACAAATTATTAAATATTGTTTTTGATATGATGGTTACAGTATATAATGATGGATTAATTAATGAATTTTCCTATATCAATATAATGCAAACTTGTACTCTTCAAAATGCTTCTTTTGTGCTTCAATTAATTGAAATGTTTTCTGTACAAAAATACATGATGAAACAAAATTTACATAGACACACCATTGCCTCAGATTGATAAGATTCTAACTGACATTTTTGGTGAAAATGATGTTTTGATACATCGCACCTCCAATAGAAAAGTGACACAAGTGCGAATTTGATTTCTCAGAAATTGCAATTTTAAGTTTCGTAGTTCTGTAATACTCATTATAGATTGTACCAAATATTCACTTTCTAGTGAACAATAATTGAACTAATTCAAAATCAACTTCAGAATAGTAGTAGTACCTCTTGGTAACCTCTTACCAGCTTTTAGCTGAAAAATGATGATTTCGCAATTGTGTCACTTTCCTATTTGAGGTGCGACATTACAACTCTATTTTGGCAGATCTACCTCATATTAGAAATAGTTATCAGAAGCAGCATAGTTCCATTTGCATTTTTAAATTTGATAAATCATTCATTTGAACATTATTCTAAAAAGAAAGTGCAAGTTATTGCATTTAATGACATTTCTCTACTGTGGTTGGAGAATTTACTGGTTTTATTATCTCTTTCATTAGAGGCATAAAAATTATAATGATTTATCCACTAAAATTTCTGTCTGTGATTGTTGCCATATTCGGAAAAGTCTTTGAAACTGTGATGAATCCACCATGTTTGTTTAAATAAAAATTAAATTTTTAGAGTATGCTTGGGAGTAAATTTGTTTAAGAGTATATTTGTTGATAAAATGTGTAGTACATATAACATCATTCATTACTGTCATCATACTTCTCTACATTTTTGAGGTTTCACATTAATTTTACATACATAGAACCATATTTTTTCTTTAAACATCAGTGTAAATATTGTGTAAAGCAATTAGATAAAGGAGGAATATTTTGTGAACAAAATAATGACACTCATGGAATGCCAGTTTCATTATTAAAAAGCTTTTTAAGTACCTATCATTATATAATATGAATAATTTTCCTATTTCATATTACATTTCTCTTTCACTTAGTTTGGAGAAGTCACATTAAATTAAATTTACAGGGCACCTACTCCACCAAGATCTGAGTGCAGTTGCCATGTAATTATTAGTCTAATATTTTTAATTTTTTTTCATTATCTTAAGTAAACTTAATTATTTATTTGTGCAGATTAATTATTGCATTTTGAGCATTTGTCAAATGTTCAAAAGATTTTTCTCACCTTTAAGTTAATGTACATCAGATCATTAAAAAATCGGTAAATTTATGTTCAGTTAATTTTAACTGTTGCTGATAAGAAGGTGAAAATTTTGTGTTTAGGAGTATTTATATAAGGTATGTACTTATATTGATCAATATCACTAGTGAATTATTCACAATTTCATTCCTTTTATTTACACACTCTTATTATATTTCTTTACTGGACTATTCATAAAGGCTATTGTTTGTATTGTACTCTGGCGGTTTAAAATAAGGAGACATTCTACATTCAATTTATAAATACTTAAATAGACAAATGGAGATAAAAAAAATATTGAAATGCAAATGAAACACTTAAAATCCATTACATACTTTTCATTTGTATTAATTTGAAGTTTTGAATTTTCCCAGAATCAGTTATGTTTTACGATTTCTTATGTTCCATTTCCTTCCCTGTTTTGTTCACCTCCAATGTTATGACTTACTCTCATTATTATGTAGTCCTTTTTTTTTCTTCCAGAAAGAGAGATTTGTGTATGGGATCATCACTTTGTTTATGTGTTATTCTCTATTTTGTATATTAATGGTTACTTAATAATGTGGAGCATTTTATACCATCTTTGACTATTTTAAATTTCATTAAACAAACGAATGCCAAAAGTAATTTGAATCATATCTGATTGTTAGTAGTTGCTTTTGTGCAACTTCTCTCAGGATTTGAATAGGCACGATTATCACTTAGTTTGTATAAACATTTTGTTTATAAATATGTGTTTAATTATAAATTATGTCAATATTATATATTTCTATAAAGAGTGATTGTTTTAACTGATGAAAGGACCTCTAATTAATGTGAAAGCTACTAGACTGTTGCTAAACTGTTTTTAATGCATGAAATAAGTCACAATATGTTTGATTTAAAAAAAAAAAAATTAAAATCTGATGCAAACATTTGCGATAGAAAAAATGCCTATAATGGAAAATGCATTTTGAATCCGTAGTGGAAAAATTCAGATCACTTTAGTGGCATTTAAGCCTATAGTTTTGAGTTAAAAGATTATTTTTAAATTCAAAATTTGAACTTTAGTATAATCATGAAAAGAATTTGTTTTCATTATTCTCTTCTGGAACCTAGTGACATCTTTTATTCAAGTATAAAAACCATTATCAGAGGAGTTTTACTACGCATACTAGGTACTTTGTAATCTTGAAACACTGTTTCATATATGGCAAGTAGATCTATCTATATTAATACAGCTAATACTATCTGCATATACTAATTGTGATAGTAGTTATGCATCAAAACTATATTCTTTAAAACGGAAAAATTTTAACAATCTGAAAGATTGTTGGTTTCCTTATCTAGAATTTTTTTTTCTGATTTTACAATAGATACATTCAAAGCTTGTTAATATCCCATGGAATCCAATCAGTTAAACGAATTCTTTTGGCAATATTGAGTGTTAATATTTAAAAAGGATAAATATTATATGACCAATATTTATTCTGCATATAATGTCAAACCGTAAATGCATTTTATGTCAAATAGCATACATTTTTTCCAACTATACTGGTACCATCATGTTAATGTTTTAAGATTAACGTTTCCAGTTTTAACCCTCAACTGTTATTGCAAAAGGTTATTATTTCATAAATATAATAGTGTATTTGCATACTTTTGAACAGGAACAATGCTTGGGAATTTCACTACATTTCTCTCAGAATTATTTTAATAAAATTAAATTTGAGAAACAAAATTAGGTGATTTATATATAAATCAAGGCTTCTCAAATGTCTTTCTCCCTAGACCTTACTGGAGCAGATAAATTTTTTCAAACTCATTTTCAGAAATTTATTCAGTACCCATCAAAATAGTTGATTAACCAAATGTTTCCACATGTCTTCTTACATTGTCGCTTGTTGATCGAACTTTCTAAACTCTTTTAGATCGACCATTTTTTTATTTAGATTTAATTATTATGAACCTTATTTGCATTAAAAAAAACAACAAATTTGATTAGTATATGATTATGGAGTTATCACTACTGAAGGAAAAAAGCGAGTTGAAAACTTTTTGTTTTCTTCTTCTTTTCCCTTATGAATTGGCCTTTCTATAGACCATGTGAACGTGCAGTAGAATCTACCAAAACCTAGTTATATTTTTTCCTGGGGGTATATACGTGAAATATTATTAGGGGGGATCAGCATTTCTGATGAGTCCCAAAAGTATGGAAGATGAAATGATGCTGATGATTATGAGAGGTGAGAGGACAACATGCACATACAGACACAAATACACCCATACCCAAGGTGGGACTCGAACCCGCAATCTTCAGGTCTGAGACCGCTACGACACTACTTCCTTAATGATCTCGGCCATCTGACGGTTATTATTACTATTAAACTGTGATGCAAAATAAAAGTCCAAAAATGATAAGACAATATTCAATTAATTGTTCTTAACAATTATATTCATTTCAAAAGAAAGTAACACTTGCCAAGTTGTGAATATTATTGCTTCTCTTGGCATAAATAAAAGGTAAGATTTATTTTTCATCTATTTCTCTTAATTATTTTTTGAAGTTTTACTGTGAAGTATGTAAGTGACTCCCAGATAGATTGTGATCTGTAGTTTGGGAAGCCCTGATTTAAATAATTGATTTCTTTGAATTTATTATTATCATCATTGAAGTTTTAAAAAAAATTTATAGCATGATTAACATATGTTTGTCTTACAAATTCCAGCATTGAGGACTGACAGGGTTTAATATTCAACAGTTACAAGATTGTTAGTTATATTATTAATTAAATGAATTCACATTAGATATAAAAGTGATATCTTTTGCCAACACTGTTAAACTAGGCAGCATTGATTTTCTAGTTTTGTATGGTGAATATTACATCGCAGATCAAGGAATGAAATATAAATTATTTTTAATTGGACTTATTACATTCTTGTAGCTTTATCAGCTATTTTTCTAATATTTCAATTAATTAGTCATTTGCACTCATTCTGTAAGTCATGTCAAAGTTTAATTGTTTTGTGTTTGAAGTTAAGTTCAAACAATGTAAATGTTGATACTATTGACTTTCAAATGTGCACTCAGAAAAGTTTTAGCTGTGTTATTTTAAAATGTTGGAAGAAAAAATGTATTCTTGTTGTGCTTCCACTTGACTGTTTTGACAAAGAGAAATAAATTCTAATTGTACTATCATCTGCATTCATTCACATCTATCAGTAATACTGAACCAGTGCCTCTGTGCATTCTATTTAATTGTATTAATTGGCTATATTACTCTGCAAAACATTTTAGTAAAAAGACGTGCAAAGAAAGTCAGAGACAAAATACTTCAGTGATAAGAAATGAATGAAAAATGGTATGACGATTGGAATTTTCTTTAGGCTTGAAAATCTGTTCAAATTTAGAAATCGAGGAAAAAATTTTATTCCCAAAACTTTTGTATAATGATTTTTATGCATTCAAATTGATATCAACATAATAAGCTAATAGCTTAAAGTAGATAATTGCTGAAAATTGCTTTGCATTTGTCTGATTGTTCACCACTCTTGTTTTCACTGTTAAGAAAACATTTTGTAAAAATTTATTCACAGGAATTGGTCATTAAATATTTAAAACCATGGATGAAAACAATTGTAACAAACTTTTAGGTTATGGTTCTGTGGTCTACATTAAAGCGAACCCAACATTTTATAGTGAAAAAAATATTGATTCTATTTTGACGTAATATCTTAATTCAATATGAGTAACCTGGTCTATATAATGATCTCAGGTTCATCACAATTTGGATGAGAGAAAAAAATCCTAGCATTAATTAGATAGGATTATTAAGAGGTAATGTTTAGTAATTATTTATATGTATGCCTAAAGCTTTCTATGATTTCTAATTCACAAAAAATTAAGTACATAAATCTTACTAAATCTGAAAGGATAATATATTTTATATTCATTAGTGATTTGGGGTTTTCAAGTTTTATTTGATTAA